GTTCGTTTTTAACACAATTTTTCTTTTTTCTTAACCTGTCGGTAGACTGTCGGCTGACAGGTTTTTTGGGGTGCTCTTCTTCACAATTACCAAAATCACGATTCTACGAGTGAAGTATCGTGTATATTTCACCACTCACAAAACGGCTCCTTTAGGAGCCACCAAATTTTGAAAGTCAATTGTCAACGTATTACACATGTTGGATGTTGTATCAAGCGAAAACCGAGAGAAAACATTAAGGTTTGTGTAAACGTTTCACGGACAAGCTACCGACAAGCTACCGACAAGCTACCGACAGGTTACCGACACATTACCAGCATTCCAACATTCGGCCGTCTGTTGGCCAACTGTCGGCCGACAAACGGCCGACAGGTTTTTTGGGGAGCTCTTCTTCACAATTACCAAGAGTTCAGTTCCTGTAGTTCCATGTCGAGTTCACCATCACTCCTATGCTTCTCAAGTTGCCTATCTCAGGCTCACGAACTCTAATCTCGCAGCTCAGTGCTCCTTCAATATGGGCAAATCAGGTCTATCTCCTCAAAAGCTTGTCATGATACTAAGAATGGAGCTATCATGCTTTCCACCAGACTTGACAGAATGATACAACAAGAGCTAAACTTCACCATCCATGACTCATTCTTCCTCTGCTGTGTGGTTAATGATGACAGAAGGTACAAAAACTCTGTGGCAAACAGTGTTGCTCCAATACCTGTGTACACACTGCTGAGTCAATGGAAATATTTGGATAGTAAAGCTAATCAATCAAGAGGTCTATTGGCCAATCAGCAGAAATATTGGATCACTAATGCACAAGTCTCTCCAGAGAAAAATCTCGCCCAACAAGCCGTTAGCAGTCTAACACAAACAGTAAGAGAGATGAGACCTGAGAGCTTCAGGTAGTACGCACGAATTTTCCGAGCTCTGTAACTCAGTTAAATTTCAACTTCAATAACATAAAAAAATGACAAAACCTACTATCCAGTTGCTTAAAAAGGGAAAGGATGGCCTGAAGAGTAAACTTGAGACGCTAACCAAAGATTTCAAAGAGCTATTGATGAAAAAAGAATCAACAGCAAGAACAAGACAAGATGGTGGTTCTTCATCACCAAACCATGAACTTGAAAACATTGTACAGTTTCTTAGTGATGAATATGGTGACTTGCAGGATTCTCACTCTGCTACCCTGTGTAAATTATCCAAACTTGGCAAAGATTTGTCAGATATTTCAGCCAAAGTTAAGGAGATATCTGACACTGTAGAAGTGCTATAGCAGTACAGCTACCAGTACAACTTAAAAATCTTTGGCTACCCACAAGTTTACAAGTTCAAATCATCAGAAGACACAGCAAAACTGTGTCTTCATTTATTCCCTTGTCTAGGTGTTGATGGAAGCACACTTAATGACATTGACATCTCTCATAACATTTCAATAAGAGCAAGTGCTGCAGTAAACAAACCAAAGCCTATAAAATGCAAGTTCACCAAGTGTTCTGCCAAAGAGAAAGTAATGGCTGCCAGGAGAGCATCCAGTAACATTAGCTCCGAGGATCTTGGCCTACCAAATAACATCTCTTGAACGTATTGAAATCTACGATCACCTAACACCAGAGCTGCAAGAGCTGCTTCATAGTGCCAACAACTTTAAGACCCAACATGATTATAAATTCTGCTGGGCAAAGAATGGAGCTAATGTCGACAAAGGAGTTTTCAGTTCCTAGAATTTTGATTAATTTTGTTCTAATGGATTTTTTAAGAGTTCTTGGATAAGTTCTAAGTTAGAACGGTGGATGACTTGATGATACTAACACTGCAGAGCCATAGATCATCACACCAAACAGGTAAGTCACTGAACTTTTGAATACTAACAATATATCTTTTGATTTCTGTTTTATTTCTTTGAAATGGCTTTGAACAATGACAGATCTAAGTCATACGTTAAACAATAACAAAAGGTAAACAAATGTCTAGTTAAAGAATTGCCATATCATCAAATGAGAGTTAGTTTGGCCCTCTCCCTTGGCCAACTCAATAATTCACTGAATTCTGAGCTCCTGACCAAATGTGATGTAGAAAAGCTTCCCAATTTATATGATTTGGATTTATTTAGTCTCAACAAAATTCATGATAACAATCCAGCATAGATACTCTAATTAAAAAAATAAAAGATTAATTACTAACTGTAATTGTGTTTGGTCTGTAGTTTTCCTCTTTACATATTATCCTAATACCTAGATGTTTGTAAGCACGAAGATTAATGTCTACATGTTGTAATTTTATGTGAATATTTATAGCATAAAATTGTGTAAAATTATTTGTAGACTGTCTGGTTTGCCACGATTAGCTCTTTGCTATTTGCAAGCCAGCCTAATAATAACCATCTGATGTGAACAAATAAAAACTTGAACTTAACTTGAACTTGATCGAATCCTTATCTTAACATGGACAATTTTTATAGTGACCCCCATTTATTTCTTGAGCTAGCAAACTCTGGCAGTTATTTCTGTGGCACTGAGAGGCCTGGAAGAAAAGGTTTTCCTCAGGACATTGCCATTCCAAAAACTAATGAGGGGTGCTAGCAGAGAGGACACTATCAGTTCAGGGGTCATGGCCAACTGATTGCAATGAGCTGCTTTGACAGTTGTGGTGTGTGTCTTCTCTCAATCATTCACCCACCAAGAAATCCTGATTGCATTCTACAAACTGTGACACCCAAACATGATCATGAGCAAGTTTATGTCCCCTGTCACCCCTCACAAGTTTCTTACCAAAAGCACATGGGAGGGGTTGATCTTTCTGATCAACTGATCAAAAACTTTTCTGTTATCAGAAAGTCAAGGAAGGCTTGGGAGAAGCCCCTGAGTTATGACTTGAAGGTGTACTTACTGGATTCTTTCATCATAATGAGTAAAGCCAAACCTCTATCAGCCCAGAAGTTTATTGATTATCAGGTGGTTTCTTAACTCCTTGGTCGAAGGTTATTTCAAAGAAAGTCTGAACAACCTCCAACCCTCCCATTCATGGAAAGAGATGAGAAGAGGCTCAGTGACCAAAGGCATTCCTTGGAGGTTACACAAGCAAGGAAAGATTGTGCAGTCAGTGCCAAAGAGGCTTTAGATGAAATCCTCGGAAAGAACCTCTGATACAAGTCATTCATTGTGTGTGTGACCTGCAACCATACTCCACTGTGTCAACAAGGGCAGGAATTGCTGGGGAAAATGGCATGTGGAATGCATTTACTGGCAACAATGGGAGACTAAGATATTTTCTAAGAGTATTTCAACATTTCTGACTGAACCTCGTTTATACATAGTAACTTTTTGAAGTTCAACAACATGAAGTTTGGCATTTAATGATTTTTGTATCTGGTAAACAAAAATCAAGAAGTGATTCTCCAAAGTTGTTTTATTATACAAGATTGTCAACCTAGTTTTTTTAAATATTTTTTTCAATTCAAATAAAGTAAATTCAAATTTACTTTCAGAATATCATAGCTGTGATAAATTGCATGCCAGTCTTCACACAAGGCATTTACTTGGGTCAGTAGTTATGCTCAAGCAAATACTCTTCAACTTGCCAATCAGATGCAAATAACAAAAAGTTGTGTAACTTTTTAACTATTTATTATAATTACAATCTGTTTTTTCGATTTTGATCCTTATAAAGTGTGTAAACTTGATGGAATAAAAGCAGATTAATCAGTTTCTTCCTTCTGGGGTGAAAGGTGACATTCAGAATTTAATGATCTTTCATCAATAGTGATTGTGTGTAATAAGCACCATGGAAGATTAAGACAGCCTTTGTGCCTAACTAAACTCACTATTTCATATAGATAATTTTACAATGATAATAAATATATATAATTTGTTCTATTTAAGTGGAAACCTGATGATCTGTGAGGTGAAACATACCATTGGGTGTGGTCACAAATATTACCTCACCCAAAAAATTGGGCCTTTACCGGTTAAACCTTACTCCAGTCAATAACAATTTCCACTGACAATCAGATATTTATGTACACTGATGCTAATGAGTTTCAAAATTTAGTGGACCACATTAATGGCATCATTAACTCATCAAATACACATAACTATGGTGTAATTATTGAATGTAATATGTCAGTTAGGTTTTTTTGGTCAAGAGCAATGGGCTTTTTGCTATCACTGACAGCCACAAGCATGTAAATAGCAATGTTGGTGGCATGATTGTCATGACAAATGACCCTAGGGGAGTTATCATTGAATTCTCTAATTGCCTGTCAAGAAAATGCAACCTCACTTAGGACTGGGAACCCTAAACAAGGTAAAATATACATCATGATCAGTTTCATTGTGACAAACAATAAGTTAAAAGGCGATGCGTCATTAATTTAGGCTTCTTTTTTCACACTTAAATTGCTGAGAATTTGGGAAATTACTGTCAAATAAAATGTAATAGGGACCTGTTATCAGATTAGTTCTTAACTTATTAGTAAATAAATGAAACATTCCAGGAAATTAAAGAGTCCACTTTGATTTCTTCCAGAGTACCATTGTTAGTTTCAATTAATAGGGTAACCTATAATTTCAGTTTCTTGCAACAACATAACAACTAGTGGTGATGCTGTTTTTTTTCCAAGCAAATTACAAAATAACCCACGAATTGGTATTTAGTTCTCTTAGAAGAGAGATGAAAACAACCAACTATGACAATCACTTGCATCTAGTTGACAATGTATAGGGCTTGAGTTTAGGTCTGAGCACTCCATAAGCATCCACAACTTTGCCCTCATTCTTGAGGTCCCTTTCTTTTACACACGTGTTTGCTTACTTGGACACTTAAGCTTTGGATAGATCACTCATGAGGATAGACATGCAACAAGCAATTGAAAATTGGGTGACTTGAACCCAGCTGATGATGTCTCGTAGCTTGAAACCTTCACAGCTACACTTAAACTGTTGTTGGCTATAAGGACTGGAATTCCTTTGGCAGCCAGAATCTCCCTGGCCCAATATAGAGCTTTAAGATATTCCAGATAAAGCTTTGGAGCTGAAGAAAGAAGGTCACACCAATGCAGAGAACTTTTGTGACTGTAGCATGACAATTCGTCATGCTAACAAACTTGTGACTATTGTTTTGTTTTTAGCTATTGTCGATTTCATCTCGAGTTTCAATAATGTGATATCTCGTTTTTCCAGTAAGAAACGCGTGATCTTTAGAATCTTTTTGTGATCATTGGAGTGAATTCAGAACAATAAATAAACAGAAAACTTGTGGATTTACGTGAGTCTTCAGTGTCTCTGGGAATCAGGAAACTCCCCACACCAATTACACTAACCTAAGCACTGAACTTAGTACTCATCAGACAAACCTGCTTCCTGAAAGTTTCCCAGCCATGACCAAAGGTGTCATACATCTGATATTCAACAGTTGCTCTGATTGGAACAGACTCAGGAATAGACTGTTACTACCATAGTCATCACAAGACTTGTCCAACATTCGGCCAACCCTCAAGAGATTAAAGACCTAAAGGCCTGAGGTGAAGTTAAGTCATTCAGTAACATTGTTGGTCTGAATACAGTGCTTGATGACCATGGTATTCTGAGAGTAAGGGGTGCATAGCATCTTCACCAGTTGCTGATGCTGCTAGGAATCAGATACGTCTGCCAAGCAACAAACATGGTAGTTTACCACATCCACAAATTGGCTATCTTGGCTGCAAGCACTTCATATCAGTGTCAATATAACCGTCAATGGCCAATAGTTTGGAAAAGCAGCGACGTTGTTCCTGTGTTCAAG